TCATTCATTACCTGTGTTAAACTTGTGGCTATATGCTTTAGGTACTAATCAAATATCAAAATAATGCATTTATGAGTAGTGCATGTAGCTGATTTTCTTCCAGAAGCATTTTCTACCTCATACCAGATTTCGGGCAAGATCATGCTCAGGTTGAGAATGAAGGTCACTAGGCAAGCAGGACTCCTGAACAATGGGACCAGTATCCTAGTGTGCTGGACAGTCCTTAAAAACAAATCTGCCTAGCCCTGGCCAGGTAGCTCACTCAGTTGGTTAGAGTGTCATCCAGATAGGCCAATGTCTTGGATTTGATCCCAGGTCAGGGCACATACAAGAGTCAACCAATGAATGCACAAATCAGTGGAACAACAAATTGATGTTTCTCTCTCTCAAATCAATAAATAAACATTTTAAAACACACCTATGACATGCAATTTAAAATAGACAAAACAAATCTGTCTAGGCACCAAATGCTGCTCCTCAGATTATGGAAATTTTAGGGTAAAACAGTCCTTGTAAAGACAATGTAATGCCACTGGCTGCTGATACGCATGTTCGTGTTAACCACTGTGTGAAAGTATAGTTCCAAAAAGATGAATTTGTTTTGGTGATGCTAGTTTTGAAAAACAATGACATGTTGACTGAATTGTGATATGTGAATGAGGACAGTTCTCTGTTCCAACAAAAAGCTCCCCAGGTGACTGTGACATGCAGCCAGGATGGAGAACCCTATATAGGTGTGGTCTAGACAACTGAAATGCCTCTAAAAAACTAAACAGCTAAATTGACATACAACATGGCAAAGCAAGCAAAAAGTGTATGTGGTAAGATCATCTATTGGCTATGTCTCGTACTAAGGCATCCAAGATAGTTATTTTGAAGAAATCTAGGCAGTTATTAATATGGTAAACCTCCCAAGAACATGACAATATGCTCAGAAAAAACCCCTGTGGATTCATGTGATGATACAATATAAATAAAAAATCAGGAGGACTTTGGGAGCTCTTAATTAGGTCCCCAAAACAAGTACCAGAGAGAGAACACCACCCATGAACACCAAAATGGTAGACTCCTGGGAAAATGGGTGCGGATATATGTCAGACTTCCACAAAACACAAAACATTTCTGGATAGTGGTCAATAATTTACTAACGATCTAAGTTCTTATCATCTCTAGCCCTACTGTTGGGCTTATGATTATATCTGGGGTTTAGATATCTAAGCTTCTTGAGGACTCCAGAACATATAGATGGTCTAAATTTCGAGCTACCTCTACAAGATTTCACTGCCTCCAGTCTTCATAAAAAAAACAAACAATGGTTCACAGTTAATTTATCATTCTCAGAGGGTTTGTGAGGGCATGAGCTTAAAAAACAAGCTTACTGTATCTCAAAAAAAGGGAGGTTAACACACAGAACTGTGAACCCTGAGGAAAAAAGACACCTATTAAGGAGGGCTCCTGAGGGCTAACTGGGCTCAAATTAAAAAAAAAGAAAAAGCAAGAAAAAAAAAAAGCAGAGCCTAGCAGTCGTTTCTGTACAGGAGCCTCTCATGCAAACCGCAATGAACAGAGACGCCTGCACGGAGCTGCCTGCACGGAGCTCGCTGCCTCTGCGCCGAACTGCCAGCCTGCCCTGCGCTGCCGCCCCCGAGCGGAGCCAGCCCTTATACAGGAGTGCCTGGAATCTTATCTCAACCAATAGGACTGAGGCTTTTCCCATCCAATCAGAGCGGTGCAGCTCTGACCAATCTGAGCAGCTCTATTCTGACTAATCAGAACAGTGCCTTTTGGACCAATCAAACTGTGAGGATTTGGAGTCTTCATTTGCATGAGACCAATCAGGAGCCCGGGGCGGGGACTTCTCTCCATATAAGCCAGCTTCTCCCCACCCCGCTCTTTTCCCACGGAAGACCCTCTCCCTGGCTGAGCTGAAACACCGAAGGGGGTGTCCCACTAGAGCCGAGCTGTCTAGTCCAGGGGCCTGGCCCCAGGGCTGCCTCGCAGGCCTGCTGTGCACGATTGAGCTGTTTTGCACTAAATAACGTTTCCTTCTTCACGTCTCCCTCACTCTTGGATAATCGTGAACTAAGGAAACCAGGCATGCGGACCTCTCCCAGCTAGAACCAGATTTCTCTATATCTTACCTAGAGAGCAAGAAGAAAACACACAGAACCACACACACAAAAACAGGGAGGTTATTAGGAGAAATGGAGAACTATGTGCGCTTTCCCCAGAGCCAAGACAAGACAACCTGGGGCAAAAGCAATACTAACAATACTTCCCCAATGTACAAAGCGGATGCACCCTTTCTTGGAGAGACCTGGGATTTCCCAGAGCCCATTCGAAGTTGAAACTTCTCACAAGGTTAAAGATGGGCAGGGTCACTGGTGTGGTTTTACTCTTCTTGATCAATGCAAGTGGGTGAGCGTGGTCCTAGCACGAGTGACAGTCCTACAAAGTTGTTCAAGCCCTGTGCTCTCTCGTTGCGCCTGTGCATAGGCATTAAAAGGTTCCTTGGGTTTGGGTAAGCTCAGGGGCGCGCTGATGCCAGGAAGTGTGCCCCTGAGTCTGCAGAACGACGGGACCCAGCAGAGCTGCGGGTCTGCGGGAGTGAGCGGCGGTGGAGGGCGCGGGGCGCTGACGAGCGGAGGCGGGGAGTCCCGCAGACTGAAGAGGCCGGGCCTCTCCCCACCGTCCGCGCCTCGGCTGGAGGCTCGCTCTCCGCGCCCAGGCGCTGCTCCCGCCTCGCGAGCCCCGCAGGGGCGGGATCCCCGC